GGGGTAGGACTCTGGGTGGGCTTTGAGGTCCCTTCCAGCCCAAACCATTCCACGATTCTGCTCCAGTGACAATGCATACCTCCAAAAAACTATCAGTGCTCTCAGCAGAGCTGCCTTTTTGCTGTTTAAGACCAGTTGTAAAGTTAACGAGGAGTCAGTTTGCAACAGGGAAACCTGAAAACAGAGTCCTAACGCAGCTCAGCGCTGACACGAGCTCAGGCAGTACATCCGCACATGCCCGGGGGGTTACTTCACAGCCCCTGCTCGGAAATAGCTGACTTACCATTTCTTGCCTTAGCTTAGTGACTTCTTCCTTCTCCCGCTCCTCTTGCTGCTGCCTCATCTGCTCCCGATATCTCTCCTTTATGGCTTCTCTGTTTGCCAAGTGTTTTTCAAACGCTTGCCGCTCTTTAGCTCTTTTTTCCGTTGCCAGCTCAAAGTTTTCAGGAACTACAGAACCAGAAAGGCTCTCTAAGTTTGGAAATAGAGGAGATAAGGTTGGTGCAAAGACAGCCAGTCAAGCAGAGCAGTACCAGTGGCGAGCCTCCCTCCGGAGCGCTTCACCGTACAGGGGCGGTTAGTAAGTACCTCCAGGTTTCGGTAAAAGAGAAAACCCTCGTGCCCAAACGCGAGCAGTGTGAACGCAGACGTGGCAGGGGTGTTCTCGGAGGAGGGAGCAAGCACACAATTGTTAGTACAAACGAGTGTTTTGGCTGGTTTTATACCCTACCGAGTTTAGTCGAGCCTTCATCTCGTTAGAAACGGGAGGAAGAGACTGACAGCGGCTGCAGAAATGCCAGCTGTCTGCAGGGAGCTCCTCGCATCCCATTTACCCTTATCCCAAGCTAGCACACATCAATCATCTGCCAGTTGTAACGTGGCTGTTAAATACAGCTGCCACGTTAGCGCAGGACAGGGGGGCAGCGGAGAGGAAACTCCCCCGGCTCCCCGGGGACACGAGCTGTTAGGGAATGAGTTGATTAAGCGCGTGGCACTGTTGGCTGTGCCGATAAAGAGGCAACAGCCAGTCTAAGCATCGCTTAATTGCATGGGTTCCCAGTTATCAGCCAAGCCCGTGCAGCAAGTACTTGTAATTCTACCTGACAACAGCTTATTTTCCTTTTTAGGCACAAAAGGTTCCTGGTACACCACGGTGTTGGGCCGAGCTTTAAAACATGCTGCCTCTTTCTGTTTTTTCAGGTCTTCCTCAAGCTGCAAGAGAAGAGAGCTCATCAACCCCAGGCATCATAAAAAGACCATCTCCCCACACTCCGGCATTCCCAACACTGGAAGGTTGGCTTACATCAATTTATTTTATAGAAAATAATATCAAAGCCTCAAAGTTGTGTCACTTGGGGTCTGCCTGTTACTTCTGCCAAAGATGGCCTGAAGGAAGCGTCAGGTGGCCACTGCAGACTCCAGGTGAGGAAAGCAGGATTTATACATCAGTAAACCCCCGAGCTCAGAGATGGTCAAAAGGACCAGCTGCACGTCTGGTAAATCCCATCGCTTACCATAAAGGGAGAGAAAACCCCCAACCCTTCACCCACAGCACAAGCCTCACGCCAAGGACAGAAGAATTCATTGCTCAGACTCAGATCTCAGTTAACTCAAGCAGGGCATGCTGGGAAGTCGATCACAACTGCACTCTCTGCATGAAGTCTGGCCCTCCTCGCCCTACCTGGTGTTTCCAGCTCTGCAGCTTGGCAGCTCCCCGTTCATCCACCTGCAGATTGAAGGGTTCCGGCTGGGTTGGAGTTTTGACCTTCTTTTCTGGGAGCTTAACGTGGTCAAAGTGAGGCAGAGGCAGCGCTTTGAACTTCGGCACCTGAAAGAGAGCAGATGTAGATTAGATCTAGGGAAGGGATTCTTCCCGCAGAGGGTGGGGAGGCACTGAGACAGGTTCCCAGAGAAGCTGTGGATGCCCCATCCCTGGGAGTGTCCAAGGCCAGGCTGGATGAGGCTTGGAGCAACCTGGGCTATGGAAGGTGTCCCTGCCCGTGGCAGGGGGTGGGGCTGGGGGGGCTTTGTGGTCCCTCCCACCCAAACCATTCCATGGTTCTGTGAAACAACAGGAAATCTTTCTTGCCCTTTCCTCAGAGGCAGGAACTTTGGAAGTGTAACAGCCAACCCAGCACAACGCCGGGAGTCCCACACACCCTTTTTCATTTGCGTGCAATCCAAGGTGGCTGTTGGCTCTTACCTCTTCCTTCTGCAATTCTTCTATTTTTTTCTCTTTCTGGATCTGCCGCTCTCTGTCGCGGGCATCGAAAGAGAAGGGACAAACGTGCACGTGCCTCTGGTCTGGCATTTTTGGTTTGAAGGGCACCCCGTAGTGTGGCATAGGGTTCGCTTTGATCACAGGGACCGCTTCTTTCTCCTGAAGGGACATCAGCGTTAGGATCTGATAAGGCACGGGATTTTTGTAGAAAGGCTGCAAGTCCCGCCCAAGGGAGCCATGAATACTGCAGTCCCTTTAATAAGGGACACAGCAGCGTCTCGCAAACGCTACGGACGCTGCAAAATGAGTAATCCAAAACGTACTGACTGACAGGCATCCTGAGCCCCAGGCAAGTCCTTCCTCTTTCCCAACTGCTACCAGTTTTGGTATTCATCCTAATTAGACTGTAATTCTTTAACATCCTCTTCACAAGAGGGAAAGGAGGAAGGACATGATATATTCCAATCTCCAGGGATCTGGAGTGACTGCAGAGAGGGGAGACCTCACGTGCAGCACCTGCCCTTCTCAGTGACAGAGTAGGGAAGGACAACGTCCCTCAGAGACGTGAGCGGTCTGCTTTCCTCCTGCGGTGGCCACACCACAGCGACCCTACTCTGTGCCCTCACGTTCCAGGCGAGTTATTTCATTCTGCATGAAAATTCAGCTTCTAGGAACGAGGAGCAGCATGTAGCTGGTTCGAAGGGAAGAGAACAGAGAAAGGGACACTGGAGGCACTGTCTGACCGGAGGGATGGGGCTCACCAGGCCAATCCTGCCAGCAGAGGAGCGGCGGGCTGGCCAAGGCAGCCACCCTGGGGCTACCAGGAGGCTCGACCTTCGCAGGTTACCTTTTCCTCATCTTTGCCAGACACTCGGGTTCTGCTTTTCAAGGTGAAGGCTGGAGACTTGGGGACTGTAACAGGAAGCACTTTCTTCTCTGGAACACCCTGTTTGGAAGAGCCAGTAAGGAGTTACCCAAGTGCCAAAACCAAGTGCTACAGAGCAACAACCCAGTGTAGCACCGCCCATGCTCACTGCGGCCCCTACGCAGTGACAGACAGTGCTCGCTGAAGATTATGAAATACATAATGCAACACAGCTCGATATTTTGAAGCTAACTGCCACCTCAGTCCCAATTCCCAGGTCTGGGGGATTACTAAACTTACCACAACGTCCTCCAGGATTTTTGTTGGACATGGCCTGGAATGGAATTCAAAATGCTCTTCCTCCTGCTGCTTCTTACTCTCACGTTCCTGGATCCTTTTTTCTATTTCCAATTCAAAGCCAATGGGTTGGGTGAGTTCCTTCACAACAGGTTTCTTGGGCAGGAGCGGGCCACCCTCAAAGATTTTGTGATCGAGTTCTCGCGCTTTGAATTTGTACCTACGTGGGAGAGACAGTCACTGACGTGTTGGACGTGGCAAGATGCAGCTTCTAGCAGACGGCTTCTCGCAGCGAGTCAGGTGCAGCAGCAGTTGTGCCGCACACACAGGTTACATAGCGTGCAGCTCTGGTTAGCAACTCCTCCTTTGCTTTTGAAACAGCAAGGCGTTAAGGAAAACCTTATGGATTGCTCCTTGGAAACCCAAAACTTTGCCTACAGGAGAGTTTTGAAGTGCACGCAGGCTATACTGGACTTGTTTTACTACTCACAAGCTGTACTCAAACCCAAGATCAGCTCCCCTGAAAACACCTATAAAACGAATTGTCTGCTTTTCACATCCCTACAATCGAGCCACAGGATTACACACAAGCTGAAGGAAGCTCAGTTATGCTACTCATTCTTTTACACAGAAAGGGTAACTCCTGAGAAGTTATATTTTGGCATCTGAAAGATACTCCCAGAACAGTAAGATTCTCTCTTGGAGGACTAGAGTAAACCTTTACTCACTGTTGAATTTTCTCTATTTCCTCCGCTTCTAACTCCGCTGCAGTTTTGCAGGTGACAGGCCGGAAGCGCTGCTTTGTCAGAAGCAGAGGCGTTTTAGGGTTTGTTAGCCGAGCTTTCACCAGCTTTCCAGGAGCTGGGCCTGTAAATTCAAGTCACAATCTACTCAGTAGAGCACTCAAAGCATCATTCTTGCTCTGCCACTGTCCTGGTGGACATCCTCCCGGCTGGAAATAGCCAGGGCTGCTCACCTTCATCAGATTTCCTGCTCCTCAAATGGTAACGAGAGGGTGTGGACTTTTGGAATGCTTCTATCTGCTCAGCAAGGGACACGTATTCTGATGTCGTTTCCTCAAATCTTCTTTTGTTTCCGTAGGACAGATTGAAGGGTTTGGGGACAGTGGGTCCCTTCGGCATTCGTCCCTGGAGACAAAAAAACCCTACAGTTATTATGGCTGTTTAACAGGGAACACGTTAATGACATTTCCTTTCCCTGCTGATTCATGGAACCTGTCCCGTCCCCCTAGTGAAAAGGTGACGCTTCACACCAGATGTAAGTGTTAACATGCACCAACCACCCTGGGACACTGCAGGGCCTGGAAGATTCTGCAAAGTGAAATGCTCCAAGGGCTGGAGCCCCTCTGCCATGGGGACAGGCTGGGAGAGTTGGGGGGGTTCAGCCTGGAGAAGGGAAGCTCCGGGGAGGCCTTAAAGCCCCTTTCAGTGCCTGGGGGGCTACAAGGAAGCTGGGGGGGGGCCTTTTTCCAAGGGCAGGGAGTGACAGCACAAGGGGTAACAGGTTTAAATGGAAAGAGGGAGATGGAGATGGGACATCAGGAAGGAATTCTTCCCGCAGAGGGTGGGAAGGCACTGGGACAGGTTCCCAGAGAAGCTGTGGATGCCCCATCCCTGGGAGTGTCCAAGGCCAGGCTGGATGAGGCTTGGAGCAACCTGGGCTATGGAAGGTGTCCCTGCCCGTGGCAGGGGGTGGGACTGGAGAGGCTTTGAGGTCTCTTCCCACCCAAACCAACCCAGGATTCCGTGATTAAAGCATGAAGTGTAACAACCATAAAAACACAACATTAAAGGCCCCTTTTCAACAGGAGCAGTGAGACAACAGCGATGTTTGCACAACGCTCACTTCGTGTGGCAGCCCTTCGTGGGTTACCAGCACCACACACATTGCGAAAGCAGAAAGGTGACATCAAGAATCAGCCAGCCAAGTGCTGGCAACGCTCTGGTTCTCACCGGAGAAGGAGGATGCTTTCTCAGGCCCGCCTTAAAATCCAGTTCCTTGTACTCGTTCCCAGGCTGGCTTTCCACATTTTGTTTAATTCTGTTCTCCGTGCAGAAGTGGAAGTCAATTGGCTTTGTTACTTGACCAACAGCTCTCTTCACAGGTTGTCCTAAGGAAAAAGAGCATGTAAGGTCTGGAAGCATTTTGGGGTGAGGGGGAGAGTAAAAAAATAAGGCATTTAATTTCTAATAACTTGAATATATTTTGAGAACTCATCTATAACCTCTCAAAACAGGAGCAAACCCAAACTAACCCAACCCCAGGCAGTTTAGGGACTGATCTGCATTAAAAGCCACCTAACCCTAAACAGTTACTACAAAATCTCAGTGTTTGTTTCTAAAGGTACTGGCACAGCACCCTCCAGCTGAGCCCACCTGCCCCAGCAATAGCTGCTTTCAGAGACTCCTCGTTCTTCTTCCGCAACTCCATAACCTCCCGCTGCAACTGCTGCATCTTTTCCAGCTCCTGCTCCTCCGTACTCTTCAGCTTGCCAGAAAGATGGGTTCTCCTGCAGAGGCACGTGAAAAGACTGAGACACACCTTAAGTGCAAAGGGACACACTCATCTCCGACTGCTCGGCAGCAGCATCGTTCCTTACAGGCGTACTCTTCAGAAAAGAGCTGTTTGGGGTTTATCTGCTCAAGAAAGCTTGCAGCTAACTCCCATTCTGCATAAACGTTTCCTGTACGCATGCTTCACCCATTAGCAAGAGCGGCTTTCTCCCCAGATTAAAAGCAAAGGCCTTCCTTCGCACAGGGTCAGCTGAATTTCACCCCAACGGCGCTGCTGTGACCCGGTGGTTAGTAAATGCGACACCATCGCGTGCTAAGCTGAAAGCGCTCTAGCCAGGGCTGTCACCTAAATCAACGGTGATTAGCACAGACAAGGCACAAGAAAGCTACGTACTTTAACATTGTTGGCGTGGAGGGCACGGTCAGTTTGCTTTTCCCTCTCCCTGGGGAGAGGTCAGGATTCTGCAGGGGCTCCTTCTTCATGGCTACTTCTGTCAGCTTCTCTCTGCTGTGAGAACTAAGGTAATGAGTTGTTAGGGCAAAGCACTCTAATTAACAGTGCTCTAAATGAAAGATCACCTCCAGCTCTCACCACCACACAAATCCCAACACCTCATGAGCTCCACGGTACACCACACCGGCCTTACTTCGCCACACGCCCCGGTACCGAGCGTCTAGATTTCCCTGACGCTCTAAGGCTGCAGAAGGGAAGATGAATGACTGAGTTTTTGGAACTCGGGCTTTTCTTCAGGAGGAGGGTGTGCTGTAATTCACCTAGGCACCACAGCGTTTGAGAGGTCGCACTCCAATTTCCCAGCCTCGGGCTTATCACCCTATGATATCTTAGTGGTTAAGTTAATTTGAGAAATATTTTAGCTGCAACCCATAGCTGATGACTCCTGATGGACAAGATAAGCCAAATTTGAAGCTAGCTGACAGACACTAAGCCTGGAGTAAGGAGCTTAAACTCCTGCTTATTTCATTCACATCTCTACCTCCAAATAGAGCATTTCCATCAGGTTTTAATCAGTTGTTCTTGTTTATGACACCAGTATCACGAATCAGGTTTTGGTCACCCCTACCTGCGAGAGCCCTCAGCCCTGTGGAAATCCCTTCCAAACAAACAGTTGTATCCCCCTTCCCAGCCCAAAACAGAAGGGCTTTGGCGTACATTCTTATTTTCTTCGAGGGTGGAATCTCTTCCTTGTTGACCGCAGCAGTAACACTTCTCTCCGTGTGGACTTGAGCCGGCCGTTTGCGCTGCCGTGTTTTCTTCTGCTTCGTAGCCGGTCTTCTACCCGCCCTGGAGCGGAACAGAAAACGGAGGTTAGCTGTCCCACAGGTCTGAGGAGGCACACACTCTGCGTAAGGCTTTGTACAGCGGCGCGTCACCCAACTCCAACCCACACCCAGCGCAAATTCTGTGTTTCACAGGAATAATTCCTGCTCTATTTGGATTATCAATTAACAATCCATAAATTAATATTCCGTGGTACATATGAGTGCACAGCGCCCCATGGATTCACATCAACGGGTTCTGCCCAGCTTGGGCAGATACAAACAAACATTATAAGCCACCCCAGTTTCAGATATCCTCACATTCCAGAAGCTCCTAGTGCTACTGAGTCATTTGGCAAGTATGTGAGCCACTGCATTACATTCCCACCCCTAGAGACTGTCTCTCCAGCTCAGCAAGCAGGTCTCTGTCCCAGTACAGGATCTCTGGCTTGGAGAGCTTCAGACCCATAGGATGACCCCAGACCTGCAGATCCCCTGCTTAGTTACACCATCATCGATCCTCATGCAAACACGCACAAGCGTCTCACCTTTGAGAGGCCACGGCAGGAACAGCCGCTCTCCAGCTCGACAGGGATTCAACAATATTCCCAGGATTCACAGCGGGCTGCGTGCATTCACCGTCCCCTTCGCCATGGCTTTCACCTGAGAGCAGCGACAAACGTCAGCTCACACACAGGAATGCTAAAAAGCCAAAGTACGAGGCCTTGCTAGACAACGATAGATGAAGATGGTCCCCCAAAAGCCAGGCTGAGGCCTTTGCATTTTGCCAGTGAGAAGCAGGAAAGAGAGATTCTCTCCCAACCCCCATACCATGCCAGCTTACCCATTGTTACTTCTTGTGGTGTGACAGAAGACAGGACAAGATCAGGCTTTGAAAAAGCGGGGCTGTTCTGCAAGACCTTTGCCAGATTTTCCGCAGGAGGGATGTTCTCCAGGTTGGCTTTTTGGTCTGTGAGGAAAAGAGACTTTCACTACACATACTACAGCAGGAGTTCTCAACAAAATCTCAGAATCTCATTATGATGTTAACAAAGTCATCTGTCAAGTTACAGATGGCAAATTTTAAATACAAAACCAAAACACACACCCCCATACCCAATGAATGATGCTGTTAACACGCCTGATCCATCAGCACGGAAGCCAGGCCCAAAACAAGCGTCCAACCAAGCCCTCGGGCACAGAGAAAACCAACCAAGGAGCTGGGAGCGACTTACCGAACCAGGAGTCGGCATTGTGCACATCATCGTCGTTCAGAGTCGCAAAGTCGATGCAAGGGTTTGGGACATCGAAGGAATAGCGAGATTGCGAGCGAGACATCTTCACGCCGTCCCCACGAGCGCTCTACTTGCGGTGCTACAGTCCGAGACAACGAGTGTCAGTCAGCCATGACACCAACCCCCAGCGTCAGCCAAACTACCCCCCAGTGCCCTTCCCCTGCACAGGGTCGAGACAGCCACTGGGACAGTTTTGGGTACGCTGTCCTGCCCCTCATGCACAGCTTTGGGCAGAACACCTCGTAAGCAACATTGGGTTTCATTCCACTGCCGAGCGGCAAAGCTGGGGAAGTTTCACTCCTGTTGACCTCTGCAGGGTGAAAACTATCACAAAAGATCACATTCGGAAGGTTTTCTTTGTACCTGTAGGTGCTAAATTGTATTTTTTAAAGGACTTCAGAGGACAAAGCTTTTCCAGAGAGCAACTGATTTGCCCTTCCCTCCCTCAGGGCACACAGCAGGGTCCTCACCTTTAGCAGGGCACAGACCTAGGAAGCGAGAGCCTGATGAAGTTGAGCCCAGAGCACCGCAAAGCACCGCCTTTCTCCCTCTGAAGGGCCACAAACAAGAACTAAAATGACACAGACGTGCTCTTCTATAGAGCAAATTGGTTTCCAAAGCAGGAAGAGAGTTCTGTAGAGCGGTATTACTGGGCAAAAAGTAGGGAGAAGGGCAGCGTAGGCCCCTGGCCCCAGTGCTGACCAGGCTCTCAGCAAACCAAGCACTGTGACGGCAGCAAGAACAGTCCCTGCAGTTCATTAGGGGAGCACTGACAGCAGGAGGAGTCCCTGTGTCAACAGGTGATATTAAACCCAATGGAACAGGAACAAAGCCAGCAGCAAAAGTTATAAACACTGAAATCGTAACAAAGCCTTTCTGCAAAGGTGCTTTCATGCTGCCCCGCGCAGCTGCGAGACAAAGCCCGCGAGGACGCTATGAAACACTCCCCGAGGAAATCACCTGAACTTTGCTTTTACGAGTCCAACCAGCTCTAAAACAGCGCACTCTTAACCCACACAGGCTCAGACCTAAACCATCTGTCTGGGCAGACCACCCGTAGCTCAACGCAGACAGCAGGCTCCCAAATTTGGAGTGAGTCCAGAAGAGGCCACGGAGACGCTCCAAGGGCTGGAGCCCCTCTGCCATGGGGACAGGCTGGGGGGGGGGGGGGGGGTCGGCCGGGGGAGGGGAAGGC